GTGAAGGGCATAATCGTGTAGGTTATACCGAGGTGAAGGACCTGGCAACCCTGGAAGCCTTCTTCTCTCTTTGGTTCTTCTCCTTTTCCTCCTCTGTAACCCACGCTTTCCCTTCGCCCATAAAAGGGGAAGCAGGGCACCCCATAAAGGGGGAGATCGAGACACAAGAGCACGACACGAGCACACGGCTGAGCGGCAAGCGAGCTCTCAGCACCCGTTTACTCCTTCCACCAGAGACTTGGGATCCCCTCCCTCTCTCGCCTGTTTGTAACCCCTACTGCAAACCAAGTACCGGTAACACGAGCAGCAACGAACTGGACGTAGGGACGTTCCGCTCGAACCAGTATAAACCCTTGTGTCATTCGAGCACACCATCCGAGCCAGACGCGCAAATACAAATTTACTCGTCGGTGGTCCGAAAACACCGACAGTCAGGGTGATCAAATGGAATGGACTGATTCAAATGTGACAATCGCTTGTGAGTTGATGGCTGAACAAGTTAGGAAGGGGAATCGTCCAAATACGCATTTGAATTGTGTAGGTTATACCGAGGTATACGATAGGTTCTTCCAGCTTACTGGAATCAAGTTGTCGAAGACGCAAATAAAGAACAAGTGGGATAAGTTAAAGAATGATTTTACTGCTTGGCAAAAATTGAGGAGGCAAACAAGTACAAGTTGGAACTATGCGCGGGGGACAATTTCAATGGACAACGAGTGGTGGAAGAAGGCCAAAGCTGTGAGTGCTATATAATTTTTTTCAATCCATCACTTCTGTATTTTTTCCCAAAGGTTGATGTACTGATGTATGTGGTATATATATGTGCAGGAAATTCCAGGGAGTGGAAAGTTTAGGGAAAAAGCTTTCCAAAATGAGGATTTGCTATCTGATATGTTTAAGGACATCGTAAACGAGGACGTGGATCATTGGAATCCTATGAGTGATAATCCAATTATTCCTGATTCACAAGAACAACCTTTTGATGTGGACAATAAAAATGGAGGTGGAGGGGGCGACTTCCATAGTGAACCTGTTGATGCACACAATATTGGAGAGGAGGAGGACGTCCAGGAGGTTGGTGCACCTAGTGCATCTGCAGGAAAAAGGCCTCGTGTTGCTGCTGATCCGAAGAAGAAGGCTAAGTCAGCCACTGCAATTGTTATTCAAGATGCAATCATAAAGATGTCTGATACTACTACTGCTTTTATAGCCAAGAAGCAAGAGGGGGTGTCGGTCAAGGAAGTCATGGACCTTGTTCTGGACTGTGGTGCGGAGTTTGGTTCTGATGAGCATTACATAGCGACTCTGTTATTTGAAAAGAAAGATGCTAGGGAGATGTTCATGACCTTTCCTACTAGAGAGATTAGGTTCAATTGGCTTAGGAAGAGGTACAACGATAAGTACGGCAACTAGGATTATTTCATTTGGCTGTATGTCAGCCATTTGGACTATTTATTTTGGCTCTATGTGAACCATTGGGATTGTTTATTTGGCTCTGTGGTAGCCCTTTGGATTTATTTGGCTGTATGTTAGGCATAAGTAGAAAATTCGATGAGGTCCTCAATTCCTTGGATGGCTATGGCTAAAGATTTTATTAGACCAAATGACCCCAACTTCCCAACTGTTCATGAGAGGATTAGAAATGACCGAAGAGCATTTCCACATTTCAAAGATTGCATTGGTGCTCTTGATGGCACACATATTCGAGTTGCTTTGTCATCCGAAGAGCAAGTGAGACATATTGGAAAATCTAGGATATCTACTCAAAATGTTCTAGCAGTTTGTGACTTTGACATGAGGTTCACTTATGTGTCGACGGGGCAACCGGGATCTATGCATGATACTAGTGTGCTGTACAATGCGATAAGAGTTGATGAATTTTTTTTCCACATCCTCCCAAAGGTAATATTGATATGAATATTTTTTTTGCAACATTCGCTTGAGATGCTTACAATTGGAAACTAATATTGTCATGAATATATAGGCAAATATTACGTTGTCGATGTGGGATATCCTAATCGTCCGGCTATCTTTGTCCTTATAAGGGTGAGAGGTATCATATTCCCGAGTGACATAGAGGAATGGAACCGAAGACTCCTAAGGAAAGGTTCAATCGCATTCACTCTTCTATCTGTAATGTTACTGAGAGATCATTTGGACTTCCCAAAATGAGGTGGTACATTCTCTACAAGATGCCTTCGTACCCGATGTGCAAGCAAAAAATGTTTGTTGTGGCTACTATGGTGCTTCATAACTTCATTCGTGAGCATGATGGTGTCGACTTGGACTTTGCTCGGTTTGATCGCGATCCAAATTTTATCCCAACAATCCCAGAAAGGTATCACAAATATGTAGCGCCATCAAATAGGTCTACTACCGAACCCAATGCTCCTAGTATGGATGCATTCCGTGATGAGTTGTCCACCGCTCCCTCTCTTGCTTGGGGCTAGAATTATTGGAACACTTCGATTCGTAGTCGTCGTGCCAACATATGGACAATTATTTGTATTCGAATTATGACCTTTGTTTAATTTTCTATCATTTACAATTTATTTGACAATTATTTGTATTTGAATTATGGCCTCTGTTAATGTTCTACCATTTGTTTTCTATTTTTATCAGGGGCATAATGGACCATTTGCATGGAAACAACCCATTCCTGAAGATGGAGCAGAGCTGTGTGCCAAACAGTACCACCTGCTTCACAAACTTCATGGTGGAGCTGCTTCATGGTAGAGTTCGTGGAGCAGAGCTGGAAAAACGGGAGCGGAGCAGTGCCAAACACCCCCTAAATTTTGTCCACCATTTGGATGGTCTAGGACCTAAGTTTAGTTCGGTAATCTAAACAAGCCCTGTTAGTCCTCGGGCCTTTTTCTTCTACAAACATGTTTATTAAACGGGGTGTTTGATCCTAATTGAATTTACATTAACCAGATAAACTAATATAGCAATCTTGGTGTTTTTTTCTTGATAAAACAATTGTGATGGTTTTAAGCCATGAGCTTGATCTGTTTGGTTGGAGATCTAGATGATTTGCCTCGTGAAAAATGTCGCCTGAGAGCTACCTAGAATCGCCAGGCAAGTGGTGAGATGATATGTTTGGTTGGAAGCACGTGCCTAAGAAGTTTAATAAAGGGAGAAATTATGTTTTCTTATATACTATAAAACTTCAACATCAATCGAGTAATATATATTGTTATAATAAAAGCTTTAATAACTTATTAAAATATAAAATGCAAATAATTTTAATAATTTGTTTTCCTAACAATGCATACATATAATTAAGGAATGAATAGAATAAAAAATACTAAAGTTTGTTTTGACATGCCTGGGCGAGCGTCATGTAGACCGTAGTGTAGGCTGTGAATTGTGATCAAACAGTGGTAGAAGGAAGTGTAGTAGGTTAGCAGCATGATGATCATCAAGTGTTCTTTTTTCTGCGTGCACGCGACATAAATTGCCAAAAAGTAGGATCTAAAACGAAAAAAACTACAAAATAATAGGAGATTAACAAGAACTAGTTAGCATGAGAACCAATAAATAATCAACACAGCACCAACGACAAAGGGCCCAGAATATACAAGGGACTCAATAAGATGAAGCAATGGACTGGCTAGGACCAAAGTTTAGTTTTATTAGACCTGGGAGGTGCCGCTGAATAACGCAGTTACAACGGCTGAGGACAAAAGTTTTATTTGTTAGATTTGGTGGGGGCCGCGCGAACGCGTACCCCCTCTACCACAAATTATGACGTCCACTCTCCCACTTGGGGAGATGGTAAGCCAGCGCGCCCTCAAAGTGCAATGAGGACCACTGACCTAGACCACGGGCCTTCATGATCGCCCGTCGATCCCGTCCAGGTAAGTATGGAGCAACGTCGCACGGGGCGCTCCTCTTATAGCGGGAGCTCGCGGCGCGTTTGCCTTCGCCTGGCGAGGTGGTGCTAAACGCTCAAACCGAACGAGCGCTCGTCTCCGCTCTGCCGCTGAGTTCTCGTGGGCTACTACCGAGACATGGAAAAGTATATGGGCCTTCAAGTCCGGCCGTGATCCGTTTCGTAAAAAAGAGGTCCGGGCCCAGACTGCGGGCTGCAATGGATCGGTTAGGCTTCAAATTAGCTTTCGAGCCATAGAAGCCTTGGTTTTTCTTTCTTGCAGCTACATCCTCTCGTTGTATATAGAGAAAAGAACTCCTAAGAAGAGAGGCAAAGCAATTGCAGATGGTGGCACACCCTACTTTAAGAATCATCTGCAACTGCAAGAGAATGGTTTAACACCAGCCTGAAGCGAAGAGGTCCATGATTATTTATTCATTCTTAGCATAAATGCGTAACGGAGAGATGATATGGCCTTCAGCCTTCTCAGCAAAATTTCCGAGTCTCGCAGGCAACCACTGAACAGCAGCAAAGCTTCACCTCGGCAAGCATAGATGATCGCATTCGCGTGCATAAATTAACTGCAACCTGCTGTTGCTATTCATTTATATGTACACAAATGGCTAGAGGCATCATCATCCATGAATAACAACACCGATTTGCAGAACTAACCGACGAATCATCAGGGTACCACATCGAGAAGCGGGAAAGATTTTTGCTCCAAAATTCGACCCATACATTCTGGAACAAATTAGCCAGAAAAGAAAAAGAAACACGAAGAAGAGGACTTCCAGCACTTCAATGCAATGGATTTCTCTAACATGCTTAATTTATAATAAACAGTGGTGGAAGAAAGTGTATAGTAGCATGATCGACTGTTTTTTCTGAGTGTGTTTTTTAAACTGCATTTGGGAGTGTAGTAACTGTGCCAATAACGTTTTGCTGTTTTTCAACAGCTTCAAATCCAAAGGTCTGCCGCTAGATTTTTTTTTTTAATTCAACAAGTTCCCCAGTTGTTATGCTCCATGTATCAGAAGTTGTACACAGTGAACTAGTAATCGGGGCCAGCCAAAATTGCAGCATGGTACAAGGGAACAAGGACACCTGTGGCAAAAATCGCAGATCACTACATCTCATCACAGTCCGTGTCGTTACATACGAAATACAAGTAGTGCTCCTCAAGAGACCGATCATGAGGCAGCGTATCTTGCTCTCTTGTCAGATGGGAACTGGACTCCCTAAACCTCTGAACGCGCAGTTTGTTGTACGCTTCCATGTTGAGATTTGAAACCAGGAAGAGCTCCACCTCGGTGACAAATCGCTCTGTTCGGCCAAGGAGGAATGGCCTAGCAGCATCAGAGACCAATCTCCTGAACTCTTCCCTCCTCTTCTCTGGTGAAATCGTCCTTGACTTGTGCTCCATTTCAAGCCTCTTCATGAAGGATCCAATGACACCGTGAATGTGGTAGACTATGGCCTCAACGTTCTCATCCTGCAAAAACTACATTGCTATGCATCAGTCCGTCAGTGGCAATCAACATGGGAAAAAATCCTATATGCATCGCAATCAAGCAACACCATGGCTATTCACCTTTATTAAAAGAAGAAAAAAGGACACTATCCTCTATCACCATATAACAACTTCAACATTACATAATTATTGAAGAATACAACATGTATCATGCTCCACTACTTCTCTGCTGTGATTTTGGCAACAAAAGAAGTACTACCATCCGAGTGTCTCCTACTATCTCTTTTGACCATGATCCACGAGTCATTAACAGTGAAATAAAAGCCTAACTGCATGATATTTTTTAGGAGTCCAAATTGGTATCAAAATATGCAATTGTCAATCTGATACCACTTCACAACCTAGTATATACAAGGAATATTTAACAAGAGTAAAACAAGAGAAATCCAGATATCCTTGCATAAACACAGATCCCAATGGATGCTTATAAACTATATATATCCTTACAAAAAGCTAGGTCGCCTACCCCAGTAGCTAAAAGCGCTCAGGATTCTTGTAACCTATGGAATAGCTGTATTGCTAATAGGAAACAACAGCTTACCCGAGTAAGGGCCTGAATTTCCCGTCTTAGCCAGGTTTCAAGCCAAATTTTCTTCCGGAGATATCTTTGTTGCTCCCAGTATTGCTGCACACCGGCAATGTTGCTTGTGCTCTCTGCTTAATTCAGCAAGCATAAGTCTTACTTAACAAGTGAGGCACATAAAATTCTGATGTAGAATACCAAAGCGTGAAAGGGAATAGCAAAAACAGATTGACATAATACCTTTCATGTTATAGAATTGTGACACCAACTCATGTGCATCTGAAAGACGCCTGTACCATGAGGAAAGGGGGATTAGTACACTTCTTCACATATGCGAGAATAAGTTATAGTTTACAGTCAGATGAATAACATGTAGATAGCCTCCATTCAGCAACCAAATAAATGGTTGCTTGTGAATATGGGCTACAGAGTACAGACAGAGTCACTGGAAGCAACTGATTCTCTCTACTCTGCTTTTTGGCTGGTATACCAAAGTTAGGCAGGAACTTCTGCTATTTCCCGGTGAAGATTTTCTATTTATTTAATGAGTACAGGAGACCTATGATAGATAACCTTTTTAGTTAAAGTTCATATCAATTCTTTCTTTTTCTAGAAGAATAGAGTCACTCTATTTGCAGGCTACTGGTTAGGAAGGGTAGCCTTTGCCTTATTATTCATTTATTGAACACTCACAATCATGCACAACTTGAGGGAGAAAAAAAACAAGAGAGGACAGATACCTCTTCCTAGGTTCCTGATTTATGTACCACCGCTCAAATGATTCACCATCAAAAGCATGTATCACAGATAGGTTCTCAGTCTGCAAAACGCGACAAGGTTACATCTGGTCAGGACTTCAGCACTAAGCCTGAGGCAAAAATTGATGGTCAAATTTGTATCGGTTCACTTCACTTCACTCCACCAACTACCAATAAAGAATTAAGGGTACCTAGACTTAAGCAACAAATGATAAAGGTGAAACTAACACATCCCAAATTTGTAGATATCACAACTCAAAATGTTTGTTGTCAGTTTCTCCATTCTAATAAAACAACACCAGATTTTTCAGGGGGTACTGAACCAAATTGTGCATTTCAACACACTTTTAATAATTGAACCACTTACATAGAGACCCACACTGTTTACCTAAGCATGCACTTCAAGAAGACAATAAAGTTGCTCGAGTGAATACATCGTTACAGCAGATGTGCCACTCATAAGCAGGATTGGGCTCACCTTACAAAGTGGGCATCTAACCGAAGACAAAGGTTCTGCGTGCTTGCTCGCTACTATCCTTACCCACTGACATATACACTTGTAGCAAAAAGAATCTGCAGAAGCAGCTAGGAGTTTCAGAAAGGAACTTAAACAAGCACTATACTGAATCTGAACTAGTACAGCAAATTATAGTTTCTACAATTCACTTTGAGCAAGAGACCAATAATCGCAACAAAATTTCATTCCATATCAAAATCCTAGAGCCCATGCTCAGTTCGTAGGCGCGTATCGAGCAGAAACAACCTTAATACCGGAAATCGGTGAAAAATTCGAGAGATGAGGGGGCACGACTTACGGAAACAAGTGTCGAGGTAAGCCTCGTCTTTGAAGGCTTCGAGGCATACGGGGCAAGGGCACGCAGCAGTCCTCGCCGTCGCCGCCTCTGCCGTGGGAGGGTCGCCGGCACCCCTGCCGGGGGAGGCGGCGGATGAGGCGGCCGCCATGGAGAAAGAATCGAGATGGTTCTGAAGTTTTATTTTGGTTTGGATTGGGGAAAAGCCACTTGTCTGCTCTCAAATAACACCTCAGCTATCCGTCCCCAATTCGACGGCGACGCTGGCATCTTTTGAAATTAATAGAATTTAAAGGGGTCTTTATGCAAATATAGCTAAACTAATCACGTTTAGCTTGTAGTACTAGTAATCACCGCCATTACGAGAGACCCCTCACATTGTTGGGATATTTAACTTTTTACCATCATAACGGATGGCGCCTCCTCAAATAGCAGCTTTAGGTTTGGCGCTACACTTTTAGCAGTAGAGAGAGAAAAACGATACGCATTTACCACTTGTGCTCGCGTGGCACGCCAGCTCCACTGTCCAGCTCGGATCTGAGTCAGCAGACTCAGATAAAAAGACCTCACATGCCCCTGGCGTCTTTATCCCCTCGCTAACACAAGGGCCCCAAGTCACATTCTCCTTCGTCCTCTAGCCGGGAGACATCCGCGACGCACTTCAACAGCGCAGACCGCCATCGCCGGCAAAGATGATGGCGCTGCTGCATTGCTCTGGCAATGGCGCCGCGCCGCTGCGTGCTCGGCGCCCTCTCGTGTTCCACCTCATTGCCGTGGCGCAAGCCGACCGCCAATCGCATTCCACGACTTCGTCGCATTCCACGACCCACCGGCCGGCGACGCGCCCTGCCATCGCCACCCCGACAACGCCCGCCGGCCACCGCCACCCTCGTCCACCGGCCAAACCCCGTCGGTGACATCACCACCGATCGCCACCTCCCACGACGCCGCCATGGTGCTCCCACCCACTCAGGTTATCGCTTGTGCATGGCGCCGCCGACGGCCACACCAAATCCCCAGCGAGGCGCCGCGCCGCTTCTCCGCGACAACGCCCTGCCGATGGCCAAGGGCCCCCAGCCCACGCGCATGGAGATACCGCCCGCCGAGGCACCGCCAAGGGCAAGAACAAGCACAAGAGGAGGAAGAAGCAACACGGCGCGGACGTGACCTCAGCTCCAGCGAGCGCCGCCTGTCCCAGGCTTCGACGAGCGCGGTCGGCTCCATCTAGCGTGACCCTGGCTCCGGCGATGGACGTGGCCTCATCGGGGTCACTGGCGTCTTGAGGTGGAGACGGGCGGTGTCACCATAGACTGCACGAGCTCCTCCCCTTCCTCAGTGCGTGGTAATGGTCGGAGGTTGAAGAAGAATCTGACTTGTGGGGCCCGTGTGTCAGTAATGGGGGAGGGAGAAGCTAGGGGCAGGGGCGGTCATTTTAGCTGAGGATGCTGAGTCGGATCAAGCTAAAAAGTAAAGCTGGCATGCCAAGCTAGCAAAAATGATAAATATATATCGTTTTTCTCTGCTAAAAACGTAGCGTTAAATTAAAGCTGCAGTTGGAGGAGGCGTTGCCGTTGCTATGGTAAAAAATTAAATATCCCCCACGTTGCCAGTTGCCACCCACTACCACACTCGCCTTCCCATTCTCTCGCTCTCTCCCGTCCCATCGTGGTGGCGGCGATGGGGCGAGCGGCGGCGGTGGAGGAGGGTGACGTGGAGTTCGTCGACTACGACCAGGACGACGAGGACGCCATGGAGGAGGACGGCCGCGCCGTCCGCGCTCTCCCCGTGCCCCGCATCGTTTCCCCCGCCGTGGTGCGCACCCGCGGGCGCTTCGCCGGTCGCAGCCCCTCCGTTCTTACCGCACTACCGCTTCGACTACATCACCAACGACGGAGACCATGGTCCTGGCCCGCAGCGCTGTGAGAATCCCTTTGCGCGGCCACTTTTTGGCATGATCTCTAGGTTTCAATTTTTGGTTGGGGTTTTGGCTTTCATAGTTTGCGAAATTTCGTTGGGGTTTGCGCGTTGCTTTGGAGCCCGCTTTTCGTCGAAATTTGCGAGCGAGGTTATTGAAGTTTTTGCTAATGCTCGTGGTTGGTGATGTACTGATGTTTTAGCGGGGTTTGGGGTTTTCGGCTCGGGTGTGCTTGATCAGAAAGTGATACAGTTTGATCTGATACGTACTCCGTATTACTGTCGTAATATTTCGAAGTTTCACCAGGAATTACCTTCAGTAAACTGTGATGTTTCGGCATGACATCCAAACCCAACACGAGGTGTGCAGGGTTGGTGGTTTCGTATAAACACATGTAGTAGTCCATAAGCATGAATCTTATAGAGCACACAGAGGAAGGAAATACTTATATTAGATAGATGATCCTTTTGTAGGTTTAGTGGGCGTTTGGGGGAGGGGAGTATTTTCATCCCCTGGATTGAATACGGTAGAGCGGTGACTGCACTATGTAAACTAATTTATTCAACACCTATTGGTAGTCAGAATGAGGGAGAGGCTGTTGAATGATGCATCTGTCCTTTTGATGGATAATGCAAATTCAGAGTGACTTCATTATGTTTGCTGGAATTCATGTTCAATGGCAGCTGTTTGCGGCAAGGAGTAACTTTGTAGGGCACACAGAGGTCAAGGAAATACTTGTATTAGATTAGATGATCTTTCTGTAGGTTTGGTGGCCGTTTTTTTTTTTGGGGGTTGTTACAGTAAGTGTTTTCATCCCCTGGATTAAATATGGTAGAACAGTGGCTGCACTATGTTAACTAATTTATTCAGCACCAGCAGCATATATTGGTAGTAAGAATGAGGGAAACTGTGGAATGGTGCATCTGCCCTTTCGATGGATAATGTAAATACAGAAAATTCAGAATGACTTCATTATGTTTGCTGGAATGCATGCTCAATGCCAGTTGTTTGCAGCAAGGATTAACTTGATCACTAGTTTGATTGTATTGATCACAATGTTTGACAGGGAGTTCAAGTTGTTCAAGGGTTTGGATTTTTTAGAGCCATCAAACTAAAATGCTGTAATTGGGCTATGATGCTTATGGATCACATAAAAACAATGTGGTCACTCTGAACTAAAGGGCACATTTTACATGCTGGTACTAGTTTGCAGTTGCTAGGAGATAACATGATTGCCCTTGCCCATTTATGCGTCCATCGTTTATCAGGTATAGGAGAATGATTTGGCTAGGTAATACAGGGCCACAGGGTTAAAATAACAACCTAGTGAACAATTACACTGCAAAGTTTGAACTGTCAGAGAGAGTAGTTTCATTTGCACAAGGTAGGAATAGAATGATGCATGCCCTCTTTTTGGTTGGCCTCCACCCCGTTTGTTTGTTGTGGATTGTTTCTCATATAAACGCAGCCTGATATTATCCTATTTTAAAGAACTGGTCATATTTACTCATTTATAGTAGGTGGTATGTGAAGGTGTGTTTGTCACTGCTTTCTTACAGACTTCTAGTGTTGTAGCAACAAGCAGAGTAATGCACTTTAGAGCTCAAAATATGTCCCATTACCGTACGACAAGTAACCAGTATGAGTACAGAAAAGGGATGTCTTAGTCATTAGATTTTTATTAGGAAGGGCAATATAGTTGCACAAATAGCACATTAGCATGATACAATTTCTGTATTGTGCTGCTTATTTGATATCCCTTAGCAGCACCATTTAGTATTTACTACATATTGTGTTTTGCAAAACCATGAAAAATGTCTTGTTTGTATACTTTGACGTTTTTTAGATTGACTAATGTATGTAGTCCAGCGTTTTCAGCACCAGGAACTTGTGGGGTAACTCTTCCAGGTAGTCCCTGGTGATATGCACATCAGTTTACCCATACTTGTTAAACATGTATGAATAACATAATAAATTGGAAAAAAAAACCCCGAAGGTCTGCTTGTTCCTTTCCACTGTTTTCTATACTTCTGTTATATGCAAATCTATGTGGTTATTACACTGCTTTTGGTTTATGGTTGTTGTTTCTTTTCTGGTGCAGTAGTGATGTATTTCTCATATGTCTATTGTTCGTTGATCGCTTAATCTCTTGTGTTAACTGAGAACTTTATTCATCTAGCTATCGAAGGCTGGACAATTCTTGTTTCTGGAGTTAAAGAAGATGCTGAAGAAGATGATCTTTACAATGCTTTCAGTGAATTTGGTCATGTCAAGGACTTGCATCTCAATCTAGAACGCCGCACTGGATATGCCAAGGTAAATTTGATAGCTTTACTCTGGGAGGCTAAAAACAAATGATGCTCATTATTTGTTCAGAATATAGACTTTCATGAGGTTCACATAAAAGCTCAATTGTTTCTAACTAAAGTTCTATTCTGTTTAACATATGTTCTGTTGAATTGATTGTACCAAGGTCCTGATGTATGTAGTTCATTCTGCACAAAGTGATCTAGCCATTCATACATCTTGTCTTATGATCATCATTGCCAAACGTTTTCTTTACTAGCAGGTTTTTTCCTTAGGGTCATTTAACAGAGTCAAGGAATTTAGAGATATTCATAAGAAACAATGCTCATTAAGTACAAGTGGCATTCTTCAGCCGTGTAAATTTAGGCTTGGTAAACTTGTCACAGTTGGCTCATTAAGTACAAGTGGCATCCTTCAGATGTAAAATTAGATTTGGTAAACTTGTCAATATCATTTGCTTAGTGGACTCCTATTCATTTTGGCAATCTTTAGGCAGAGCCCATTTAAGTTTAGTCTACACACTCATTTGGCTAAATGATATTTCCTCCCTTCTGTGACCACCTTGCCGAAATAATCTAGCGATGATGGCATCCACCTAATGGATCATAGTCTTGGGAGCTTATATGTTGATATCAAGTAAATTTGTGTATTGCTACGTGCAAGCCTACCTCCTTGATATAATTTCCCTTCCAAGATTGTAGCCATGTTCCCCCTTTAACAGAAGGGATTGCCATCCAGCCACTAGAGTCTTCTACTTGAGCTCCCACATATTGGAACAGCAAGTGCCAATTTAGTTACACATTTTACTTAATGCATCTTTGTTCCTAGCAAATTGGCAAACTGAATCACTGACGATTCAGATTTGGCAAATTGTTTTACACAGTTTAAACCCAGTAAGAAAATTAAGTCTGAAGTACTGTTTCTGGAGAACAGCATGTGATACACTGCAGTGTGCCTGTAGTTGTGGTTTTATGGAAATATAATTCACCGTTTGCAATAAAAACCTATGCTAGTTAAGGAGAAACAGTAGACATAGTATCAGGTAACAGTAACTTTCTGTTCAGTTTCTCTTATGCACCCACTTTTGTTTGCCCCACTGCCTCACCTGGATTCTGCTGGGTGACAGGGATATGCGCTGATTGAATACGAAAGCTTTGAGGAAGCACAAGCTGCGATCAGAGCAATGATCGGGAGCCAGCTGTTCACAAAAACTATCTATGTTGATTGGGCATTCAGCAGAGGTCCTATACAGAATTTCAAGAGTGCAAGGTATGGTGTTAATGCTAATGGGTTGTTTTCATTTGCTCCATTAGCCCACTGGCGTAAATTTTCCTTTTCTCTTGGCTATGTATCTGCATTGCATGATCTACATCATGTCTAAAATACTTATCCCAATAGTGCCATGCCATGATATTCTTGCATCATCTGGAACACACTTCTTATTATTTCTACAGCTATTTTTGAAGCTCATTTGTTTTGCAAGTGCAATTCCAGTATGGTGGCATTTTTCACTTGAATCGTAAAATAATTATGTTGTGTGGGTCGACGTACTGACCATTTTCTTATGTTTGTCACAGGCCATCACGCCCAAGATCTAGGACTCCTCCGCGCAGGCTTGCTGCCTTGACGCCATATTGAGGCAGAGTGGTGGCTACGTTATATGTCAGTTCAACTGATGGTTTTGGCTTTGAGCAGCCGATAGACACTGTGTGACTATCGTTTAGAACCCAAACCTTGATTCTGCTAGACCTGTATCTGCGTTTAGTTGGTTCAGCTAACTTGAGGAGGCTGCTGTGCTCCGCTGACATAACTATTGCCGAAGGTCGTCTTATGTGTAACGATCCGTATCACCACGGGAATGAGGTTTTATTGGGTGTGCTTTGGGACGCATCCTCTCGTTTTCTGGTAACAATTTGTCAAAACGTCTTAAAATTTAGAATTGAGGGAGTACTATGATTTAGGTTTTAATTCCCTAGAATAATAATTTGTCAAAAATGTTTTGAGAGAATTGCCACCTGTGTCGACATACCTTCCCTTCAAACGCGTGTTTAGCCGCCAATTCTGTCAAAACGAATTTGTGTTTTCGTGATGGCCCAATTCCACATAAGAGAATCCACAAAAGCTTGCATTTCGAGACTTTTTTGAATGCAACAGAGATGAATGAGATACTTTACATTTCATGCAATCTAGAGAATTTCCCCTTTAGTGGAACATAAGATCATCTACAATGGAGATGTTTAGATGATGTACACGACTAAAAATAGTTTCTTTTACCACGTGCGTTTGCACTTGGTGCTTAAAAGGTGGATAAGATGTTCTAGTTTGCACCGCTTTATGTGCACTAACAAGGTGGCTAAGCATACTTACCGGACTTGTTAGCGCTCAGAGTTCGCTTCGGACGCTGCCCGCACAGGGAGGGAGCGAGCGCACCAGCAGTGGGCCCCGCGCTGCCACAGATGTTGTCCGCGCCGCCAACCGCTTTCCACACGCATCACATGTGCAACATCCGGTCTACTTTTGAAACATCCAGATACAACAGTTGCAGCATGCAAAAAAAGACAGATGAAACACTTTTGAAACAAGCGCCCGAAACACTTGCGAAAACACCTGAAAAATATTTGAAACTATTATAAACATATACAATATCAAGATGAAACACTTGCAAAACATATGTATGAAACACCTGAAAACACTTGAAACGTATGCTTGCAACATATATGTATATGCAACATCCAGATCTACTTTTGCAACATCCAAATAAAACACTAGCAACATACGTCTGGATCAGATGAAACATTTGGAACATGCACTTGAAACATACGTGTATAGCGATTTCAACACGTGCAACATCCCGATCTACTTTTGCAGCATCGATATACCACACTTTCAACATACATCTGAAACATTTCAAACATACTCTTGTAACATGCGGTTTTCACCCTTCTTCTTCAGTACGACGCAACACAGAGCGGGGGAACAACCGATTCCGGCAAGTCGGTGGGCGAGGATGGTGCCGCGACTTGGCAGCGGCTAGTTGCGCCTCCACCTGGCCTGGGCCCGGCCAGCGACGACCCCCTCTCCTGGCCGCCTAGGCATACGCTGTGGCCGGAAGGAGCCGCCGATCTCAACGAGGTCGGAGAGTATGTTCGCGAGGAGCGACAGGGACGGCGGCGCAGCGAGGGGGTGCGGGGACGAGGAGCAGCGCGTGCGGCGGCGGCCCATTGAGGTGGGCGGTGGGGAGTCGGTGTGGGCCAGGTTAAGGAGCGGATGCACGAAGCAGCATGCGTGCTCTCGTACGAGCAGGCAGCAGTTGCGTTTCCTATCTGGAGGAAGGAGAAGAGGAGCTAATGTTCAAGCCGGCGTGTAAGAGAGGGGGAGGGAATAAGTGGGGTGGCTGGTTGGGCCGCTGGCCATTCGGCTCAGGGATCGATCACGAAGCAGAGCGTCTGATTCTTTTAAGATTCCGGACGTATGTTCTGTAACATTACATTATATTTAAGCACCAACTGCAACTATAGTTTAACTTCTATATAAGTTCTTAAATGACATAACAACATTATCTTTTAAGCATATTTATGCGTCTAAGCACGTTGCATTGTATATGCTCTAAGAGAGAAAAAGAACCGAGCTTGATCTCAGCAATTACTTGCAATGAATGACGACAACATTAGCATATGCGTTTCCTGGCATTAGAAGACGCCATGGAAATTTTACTTCCTAATAAGATACGGATATGAAAGAGTTTTTTTTTTATAAAATTTGTTAACATTTTGTTGCAAATGATTTTTAAAATAATAAAATACAACATACGACGTCTAAGGACAAAATCGATCATTCTCAAAAAAAAACTCCCACCCCTATGAGCAGAGCAGAGCTACATGCCAAATAGGTCCATCTGCTCCAATAATTTCAGAGTGGAGCTGCTCTGTGGTGAAGTTGGTGGAGCGGAGCTGGAAAAAAATGAAGCAATGCGGTCCAAACAGGCCCTAAGATCGAGTTGTTGCGTAGACTGGTTCATACTCATGACTAGGAATCGCCTATTTGCATACCTATCTTAGCCCCTCAAACCTTTCCATCAACTCCTCGGACTTCTACATTGCTATAGAGTTAACGACTAGGTATATAGTGTTAACTCGGTTAACTATGTGATGTAATACAAATGGCTTGATCAGGATGATCATGGATATGATTTATCGTTAGGGCTTCATTGTTTTGACAACATATAATTCAGGATTGATGGATGACGATAGTAAATAGTATTGGCTAGGGACTAGGGAGAAAGATATTTAGGGACTTGAGGGTGCTTCTCAGAGTAGGTGTTTAAACACTTGGCATAGGCAAGGGAGATGCCAATGATTGTTTTCTTCTTTTTTTTTGCCACGGTGAAATTCATTACATGACTTTGCTTAGTGTTATCGTTGAAGAGGTAGTACAAAATGTCTAACCCAAGTGTCGGTGTTTCGAGTAAACACCAGCGAGTAAATTTGTATTATTACGCGTTGGACCCAGATGGTGTGCTAAAAGACAAATGTTTATACTGGTTCGGGCAAAATGTCCCTACTGAAAGCTCTAGTTTGGTTTTGGTGAATTGATGAAACCCAAAGTGCTAACCTAGTTCATCAAGTGATCATGAGATAGGTAGTCCCAAGTCTCTAATGGAAAGGAGAAGGACACTAAGAGCTTCATAACATGACAATGGTGTTATGTGATGTGTGGATGATCGAGGGCTTAGTGGGGTGACATGCCTTCCCTTTTATAGACCAAGAGAGATTATAGATAGGAGAAAAAAAAAAATCAAGGCAAAGAATGTCCTTAAACCATCGGGTCTTTTTTTTTTGGTGATCAAGACACTTAGACAGTGTGATCACATTTAGGTTTGATAAGGATGCTATTAAGAGGGGTGAAACTCATCGTGATGATGCCATCAAAGTGCGATCACTAGATGGTCTAACTCCATGCATATGCATTTAGGATCTAGTGTGAGACGGACTGTGGTGTTGATCCGCGATATTTGTGAAAATATGCTAACACATGTGCACAAGGTGTTTGCGAGTCATGAGATGGGTTTGAGTCTCTCTCCCGGATCGTAGTGGTTGTCGGGAAAATGAAATGTCCATTTTCTATTGCGCCGGATGCAAAGGGCAAATGGTGGCATCCACAACAAGGGTGAAGACAAATGAAATGGAGACGCCGAAATGATCTTTGGCGTTTCGGGCTCTAACATCGAATCGGAAGGGCACCGGACGCGTCATCTTGTTATATATCATTGAGCACCGGTACTTTGCTGGTCGATCAAGACGGACGTAGTGGAAAAGGTCATGGTTCGGGAGCTTATCGAAACGGTGACTTGAGTGTCTTGCTTTATCTGACGGCGTCCGGTTATGCTCGGAGCTTATCGAGACGACCGGACGCAGGGGCAGACGCGTCGGGTGAGGCGGAGCCATCCCACGGACATCGATGACCGTGAGTCTAGACCCTTAGACGCATCGATGACGGAGGCGAGAGTTTGCCTTAGTCGCGCCGGGCGAGGCGGCCCGGCCGTAACGCGTTGACGGTGAAGGGAGCCAACCCGGTTATTTGATGGGGGGCTCTATTTCGCCCCCCACGTCGGACTCAAGAGGACAACAACTTGGACATTTTCATTGACATAGCCAACCTTGAGAAGCCTAGCTAAAGTTGTGTAGTCTCATTTGATTCATAGAATGAATCAACGTGAGATTGGTCGAGAATCTAAGTGCATTGCTAATATTGGATTGCACTAAGAGAGGTATACTTTTTGATTTTTCCCTCACTCTCCCTTTATTTCAAGATATTTTTTGGTTTGGCATTTTAGTTTTTCACTAGTAAATAGTAAGGTGGTGTTTAAATTCAGAGGCTAAAGTTTATGATATCATTGAGGTGTTCATGGGGACCTTACATGGGAGTGTTAGGATAGTACTCTAGTAAATAAATTGTGGCTTGTGTGATCCTCAAGAATGTGTTGGTTATGCGGCAATTTATTGAAGTTTAATTAATCCATCATTAGCATATGTTCCAAGTGAGCATCACATTGTCAAATCATGGACTAATTATATTTAAAAAAATCATTGTGTTCATCATTTGATTCAGGTAATTGGTTATTTTATTCATATATTTAATGGTCCATACATATATCCAATAACCCGATGTGATAGAGATTAAACTTTAGGAAGAAATAAATAAGACCTAAATAGTATTTAGTGTAGCTAGGGATTGATGGATGAGGATAGGAAATACTCCCTTGGTGTGGTTAAATGTCAATTATTTTTAATAAATTTATTTGATGATAAATGTTAGTATGTATTTTTATAAATTGAATTAAAGTTATCTACACTATAAATCATAGCGATCAATGGCTTGCATTTTTCAAAATCGTAAATTTCAGCGAACATATTTTCTCTCACACCAAATAATTGTCTATAAATAATCCATTTATATGTTGTTGTAGAATTTTATTAGAATATTCACCCCCGAGAGGAATACTAGGAGGGTACCTACGCCCAGTAATTGGATGCTCCTTATCCCGAAATTTTTCTTCTCCGTTAACGCAGCAGCATGGGAGAGGGACAGTCCAAAGTCTCTAATGGAATCGTTGAAAGGGACTAAGAGGTTGCGCTCAC